TTTCACTCATCAGTTCTGCACCTCCCCAGACTCTCCTCCACCTGCTCATTTCACTCATTAGTTGTGCACCTCCCCAGACTCTCCTCCACCTGCTCCCTTCATTCATTTGTTGTGCATCTCCCCAGACTCTCCTCCACCTGCTCCCGTCATTCATTTGTTGTGCATATCCCCAGACTCTCCTCCACCTACTCCCTTCACTTATTACTTGGGCACATCCCCAGACTCTCCTCCACCTGCTCCTTTCACTCATCAGTTCTGCACCTCCCCAGACTCTCCTCCAACTGCTCCCTTCATTCATTTGTTGTGCATATCCCCAGACTCTCCTCCACCTACTCCCTTCATTTATTACTTGGGCACCTTCCCAGACTCTCCTCCACCTGCTCCTTTCACTCATCAGTTCAGCACCTCCCCAGACTCTCCTCCACCTGCTCCCTTCACTCATTAGTTGTGCACCTCCCCAGACGCTCTTCCATTTGCTCCCTTTACTTATTAGTTTTGCACCTCCCCTGGCTCTCCTTCACCTGCTCACTTCACTCCACTTTAAATTTGAACCAAGGCCTGAAGCAAAGGGGAGAAGCAGCCAAAGTCCAGACTAAGACTCTGGAAGAGCTTTAGAAAGTCAGGAAAGCTGTTTCAAAGACTTATTTTGAAGTGTGACTTCTTGACAACATGAAGATGTTTGGTCATAACTTGTCCTGATCCACTTGTTGTCTCTGAACCCAGGACAAGGTTCAGAAGGAGCAGAGCAACATGGCAGTAAACCTGTTGAAGCTCAGTGAGGGCTGGAGGAAGATCCTGCTTCAGACTCGAGATGCAGAGCTGCGTAAGGATCTCATGGTTCTCCAGCAGACCTTAGAGAGACAGCTAGACGAGCTGAACTTCATTATCCAGGTGAGACCTGCGGCTGATTCTCTGTCTTTTAACTGATTCTATTATGGATTATCTGTCGTTGTGACAGATTTCCATCATCCATAGAAATGAGGAGGAGAAGAAAATGTGTTTTGTTATGGTCCTGTTGAAACTATCCACTCTAATGATTCAGGGATTAAAGTGACGCAGCATTCAACCAATTAACAGAAGCAGAGCCACAGATTGAGCCAATCAGAGCAGAGCAGGGCTGGGCCTGCTTTCAACCAGTAAACTCCTACATGTCTCTGTGTGAGTGCAGCTACAGCGTGCGCTCTCAGGACATCATTACCTGCAGTGTTCCCTCAGTGAGGACTGAACTAGACAAAAGGACCTTCTCCTACTCCGCTTCTGTTTCCTGGAATATCTTGCAAAATGACCTGAAGCTCTCCACCTTGAACTCTCTAAGTGACTTCGGCTGTGGGAGGAAACCGGAGTACCTGGAGAAAACCCTCACAGCACAGACAGAACAACTCCACCGAGAAAGGTCTGCGGCTGGGATTTGATCCGGCAACCTTCACACAACAGCTCTACCCACTGTTCCACCATGCTGTCCTAAATAAAATTACTATGAATTAAAAAAATAATTTAATGGAGAAATCTGTTAGTTGAAGACCATGAGGAGGGAAACGTGTCAGGAGACAGAGGAGAAGAGGAAAGTGAAGAATGTAGGACTGAGGGTTGCAGCTCTAAATGTGGGGACAATGACAGGCAAAGGTAGAGAGCTGGCTGACATGATGCTGAGAAGGAAGGTAGATGTTTTATGTGTCCAAGAGACCAAGTGGAAGGGCAGCAAGGCTCGCAGCATTGGAGCAGGGTTCAACTGTTTTACCATGGTGTGGATAGAAAGAGAAATGGGGTAAGGGTGGTCCTGAAGGAGGAGTTGGTAAAGAATGTAGTAGAGGTGAAAAGAGTGTCAGATAGGGTGATGTGTCTGAAGGTAGAAGTAGAAGGTCTGATGCTAAATGTTGTCAGTGGTTATGCTCCACAGGTTGGATGTGATGTGGAGGAGAAAGATACATTTTGTAAAGATGTGGATGAAGTGATGGAGAGTATTCCCAGGGAGGAGAGAGTGGTGATGGAGCAGACCTGAATACCATACCATACCATACCAATTTATTTATATAGCACTTAAAACAGCAACAAGGCCAACCAAAGTGCTGTACAAAAGAACACAAACATGCACAGCAGACAGGAAAACATAAAATAGAAATACAGATACAAATAGCAGCAG